ATTATATTATTTTAGTTTATATTATATTATATTGAATTATTATATTATATTATATTATATTATATTATATATTATATTATATTATATTATATATATATATACGTATACAAGTAGAACCCGCGCAAGGCGGGTGGCGGAAGTTTCCAGGTTCAAGAAGTGTAACGCTGTAGGATCCAAAGACAAGGTTTGCCTATAGGAGTTGCGGCAGGCTTCCATGCTCTTTTCCGGGACTTCTGACCTCTTGTCGCAAATTGTGAAACCACTTGTCAACTCTTCCAACGACTTCTCACCTCTCGTCATCTCTTTTCAACGATTCTCATTTCTGCGCACATCTTCTTGACTCTCCTCAACTCTCTTTTCATCTCTCTCTTCTCCTCTCAACGCCGTTGAACTCAGTTCCACCTGTCCATTTTCTTCTCAGCACAATCGAAGTGACACGGTTGCCTTTCCATCCGATCATGGTTTTCAACATTCGATTGTGTTTTCATGTGGTATCATTCTCGTGTCATGTACTATCATTCAATCCTACTGGACTGTTGACTGTTACCTGTGGGTCCAACGTTCAAGCACGCTTGGGCCGCAGCATTTTTTTCCACGTGCGCGAAAAGCTGCGACGTCACGAGCAGCCATCTGTCAAGAGCGCGCGGGAGCAGCACAGCCGCACGCGTCTTTGAGTCCTGATGCCTGAAAGGCCAAATGAAGAAGGACACGCAAGCAGCACAGCTTTCATAAATTGCAGCTCCAAAACCGGATGGATCTCGACGCCCATGCAAAAAAACGACCATTTTTTCAGCACTTTTTAGAGGGAATTTAAAAGGAAAATCAGCAGCACCAAAATGAAGAAAAATCTGCTGCCAAAGCACCATTCGCAACTTTCAGACAGCCATTACAATGCGATTTACGACTCTCAGCTGCAAAACACAATAGTATTATGCAATCGGCCGCAGCAACGAGGAACCTTGACGCAGCCATTCCACTGCAATCTGCAGAGGCTGAGTTGCAAAACGCAATAGAATTACGCACAACGGCTACACAAATTGTAGCTCCAAAACCGGATCTCGAACGCCCAAGCAGAAAAACGACGATTTTGAAGCACTTTTTAAAAGGAATTTTAAAAGGAAACTCCTCAGCACCGAAATGAATAATAATCTGCTGCCAAAGCACCATTCGTAAGTTTCATCCAGCCTCTACAATACAATTGGTGGCTTTCAACTGCGAAACACAAAAGTATTACGCACCCGCAGTAGTGAGGAACCTTGACGCAGCCATTCCACTGCGATCTGCACAGACTGAATTGCACAACACAATAGACATTGCAACACACTACTGTAGAACACATCGCTTTGATGCACCAGTTCCAATGCACAAAGTATCTCAGCACATGCAAAACACAATAGCACAGCGTCAGCAAAGAAGAGAAAAAGTCACCTGGAACCTTCAGTTCCACTGCGCGCGCAAATCGAACAGGAATCGACGGCAAAGCGACGACGCCCGGAACCGTCGCGCACGCAAGCCAACTTTTCTCCGCAACGGTACCCCCGTTTACCCGAAAAAACAATGTTTCGCGCAAATCTTAACATTCAACTCGCATCCATGATGTAGCAGTCTCAATGCGATCCACCAACAGTGACTTGCTAAAGACAATCAGAATCGTAAGACAGTACTGGAGAACAAGTAACCTTCGAGAAGCGTTGACGCTGCCATTCCACTGCGATCTGCACAAACTGAGTTGCACAACACAATAGAATTGCAACACACTACTGTAGAACACATCGCTTTGATGCACTAGTTCCAATGCACAAAGTATCTCAGCACATGCAAAACACAATAGCACAGCGTCAGCAAAGAAAAGAAAAAGTCACCTGGAACCGTCAGCTCCACTGGGCAGACAAACCGATCAGGAATCGACGGCAAAGCGACGACGCCCGGAACCGTCGCGCGCGCAAGCCAACTTTTCTCCGCAACGGTACCTCGGTTTACCCGTAAAAACACAATGTTTCGTGCATATCCTAACATGTCAAATCGCATCCATGATGTAGCAGTTCCAACGCAATCTGCAAAGAATGACTTGGAAAAGTCAATCAGAATCGTAACTTCTCTGCTCTACTCGCCTCTTCCCTACTCTACTTTTCTCAGCTCTACTCTACTCAACCTATACCCAACTTCTCCTCTACTGCTACCCCTACCTGTACCCCTACTCCGCTTCTACTCAGCTCTACTCTACTCTATTCTACTCTACTCTACTCTCCGCTACTCTCCTCTAATCTACTCTACTCTACTCTCCTCTACCCTACCTCTACTCTTCTCTACTCTACCATCTTGTCTAGTCTACCTCTACTCTACCTCTACGCATGTGCCAACTGGACACAATGATCTTTGGGCTAGTGAGAATGTGACTTCATGATCTCTTGAGGCACATGCCAACTGGACACAATGATCTCTGGGCTAGTGAGAATGTGACTTCATGATCTCTTGAAGCACATGCCAACTGGACACAACGACCTCTGGGCTAGTGAGAATGTGACTTCATGATCTCTTGAGGCACATGCCAACTGGACACAATGATCTCTGGGCTAGTGAGAATGTGACTTCATGATCTCTTGAGGCACATGCCAACTGGACACAATGATCTCTGGGCTAGTGAGAATGTGACTTCATGATCTCTTGAAGCACAAGCCAACTGGACACAACGATCTCTGGGCTAGTGAGAATGTGACTTCATGATCTCTTGAGGCACATGCCAACTGGACACAATGATCTTTGGGCCAGTGAGAATGTGACTTCATGATCTCTTAAGGCACATGCCAACTGGACACAATGATCTTTGGGCTAGTGAGAATGTGACTTCATGATCTCTTAAGGCACATGCCAACTGGACACAATGATCTCTGGCCTAGTGAGAATGTGTGTTAATGATCTCTTATGGCACATGCCAACTGGACACAATGATCTTTGGGCTAGTGACAATGTGAAAGTCCGTGACTCGGAGTTTCCTCCATGAAACTTCCTTTGATATATGAATATATCTACTCACTAAACAGGCAAATCTTTGATATGTTATTGTCCTGCACATGACTCCACTACTGAGTGGCTAAGCTTCAGCTGAGGAACTCACTCTCTCAATCAGCCATTCTTGCAAGAACATTCAATAGATCTCCAGACCTATTCTACTACCTCCCTCTCACCGCTCTCAAGGACTGAAAAGCGTTTTGCCTCTTCACCTTGCAGTCTCTCAATAGATTGCAACTTGCGATTCGGATTGTCTGGAAACTGCCACGTTTATTGGATGTACCCTCCCTATATTTCAGATTTCATTGAAACAGAACTTCTCTGTAGATTCCCCTTGTATAAATCAAGCCAGAGTTCTGTCATCACAATTACAGTACCCACAGTGAAGTGCCTGGACAAACCCACCCAAAGATAAAAATTGCATGACGTGTCGCAAGGAAACTGTCAGAACAAGTTGAGACTCAAAAAGAACGCAAAAAAACAGCAGATCAAAAGCATTGAAGGGCTCGGTCGCCAGGTTCAAGACTATGCGCTTCAGTTCCAAAGAAATATCAGCTGCAGCATAGGAATGTTGCTGCACTCTTTTGGGTCTGAGGTCCTGTAAAAACATCAGGCCGCTGCCACCAAGAGACAGATCCCAAAATCCAAAACTTCAGACCTTTTTCACTGAGAAAGTCTCCTGTTCGCTGAAAGGCAGAACTATGGGGAAATCCCTGCCACAAACATCAATTTTTCACTTGTTAGGGACAAAAGCCTAACAAGAGTGGGGCGTTTCAGGAGCAACCAGTTTGATGTCACCAATAGCCAGGCCATAATTGTTAATATTGCCAACATGCGAAGTTTCATGCTACATCTGTGGTGGCTGCAACAGCTATAAAGAGGGTGCCCTGATGAACAATATCTCCAAGGATAAACATGCTTGCGAGTGCCTCAAGGATGGTAAGGAACATACAGTGCCTGGTTAAATGCTCCAAACCCCTAGAAAAAATCAGTTCATCATCCCAACTAGGATGGAAAATACACACATATTTGAAATCACTAAACAGTACAAAGTTCAGACCATTCTACCGGCCATTCCGAAACATCTCCATCACGCCCTCCCGCCTCAGCGCATCCCTGCCGCAAACTCTTCACGAGACAAGATTCCATCACCATTGGTGTCCAACTGGCAGATCACATTGAAGGGATCAACGCACAAATTAAGCAAATGTTCATTCAGATACAAAAAACTGCAGCCACAACATTGAAAATCAGCCCAAAAATGATGAAGTGTCTGAAGTGTTGTTGTTCAAGTTGTTCGCCCCTGAAGCGGCTGTCATGTTTCAATGCTCTTGCTCATCATGGTGGTCTTGACCAGTAAAGATCTAATTTTCGAGACTATGTAACGCACCAACAATTCCTGCCTGCGCAAATGCATCCACCTCAAATAGTCAAGATATGTCAATACTGTTAGAAAACACTTTAACTGTGCGTGACAGTAGAGCTCATCTAACCCTGTGATCTAGTGTGTGTTCAGAAAAGCATGTCTTTTGCAAAACAGTGAAAGTGCAAAATGCGAGTTGCAGCCGTGCCACTGTTCCAGGAGCTGCATACTGCACTGGGGCAGAGGTGTACACCATCGGGGCAGTGGAGTACTGCACTGGCGCAGAAGAGTACACCATCGGAGCACTTGTGATTGGAGCACCATACTGAATGGGGTCAGCTGTCACATACTGAACCGGAGCAGTGTATTGCATTGGGACCGAAGCATAGGTCATGTACTCTGGAGCCGGTGCCCCTTGGGGCACAGTGAATGCTGTCTCGGGAGGGGCATACATCATTGGCTGGGACATCACTGGCTGTGCTGCCGCAGCAGAGCCCCCTGTGGTGGTGATTGGTGCAGCATCAATGTACTGTGGCGCTGCAGTGTAGGTCATAGGAGCAGCCCCAGCAGGAGCGGCGTAGATCATAGGCTGTTCCACAGCTGGCGCTGGCTCGGCTCCCCCCACAGGAGCAGCATAAATCATTGGCTGCGGTGCTGGCTCAGGCACTGCTGCAGGTGCAGCGTATGTCATTGGCAGCGGTGCTGGCTCAGGCACTGCTGCAGGTGCAGCGTATGTCATTGGCAGCGGTGCTGGCTCGGGCACTGCTGCAGGGGCGGCATATGTCATTGGCTGTGGCACTGGCTCTGGAGCTGCAGCGGGAGCAGCGTAGATCATGGGCTGGGGTGCTGGCTCAGGAACTGCGGCTGGTGCGGCATATGTCATGGGCTGCGGCACTGGTTCTGGTGCTGCGGCAGGAGCAGCATAGATCATGGGCTGTGGCACTGGTTCTGGGGCTGCAGCAGGAGCCGCATAGATCATGGGCGCCGCATAGCTGGTCATCGGCTGGATCGCAGCTGCTGAGGAGATAGTCTGAGGGATCGCAGCAGAGCTGCTCATCGCAAGCATTGTCGTGGTGGTGACTGCAGGTGCGGTCAGGTACACTGGGTCAGCAGTGTAGGTTGCAGTCACGGGAACAGGCTGCGGGGCCGAAGTGTAAGCAGTCACTGGGGTGCCAGTGGTCACTGAGCTGGTCGCTGCTGGGGCAGCCTCAGTGGTTGCTGCTGGAGCAGTGATGTACACTGGGGGTGCAGTGTACGTCGCAGTGACTGGAGGTGCTCCCTGAGGGGCTGCTGCATAGGTCATTGGCTGGGACACTGAGCTCACTGTCCCTGCTGGGGCAGCTTCGGTGCTGGCCATAGGAGCTGTCACGTAGACAGGTGGCGCAGTGTAAGTTGCGGTCACAGGAGCTGGCTGTGCGGCTGCATATGCTGGTGCCATTTCAGTCGTGGCTGCAGGAGCTGTGATGTACACTGGCGGTGCAGTGTAAGTTGCAGTCACTGGAGCCGGCTGAGGGGCTGCATATGCTGCAGGTGCCATTTCCGTGGTCGCAGCTGGGGCAGTTACGTACACTGGTGGTGCAGTGTAAATCATGGGAGCAGATCCGTAGGTCATGGTCTGCCCTGCATACGCCATTGGCTGCTCAGTGGTGTAGGTCATTGGCTGCCCTGCAGCATAGGTCATCGGCTGCCCAGTAGTGTAAGTGGGTTGTGCCACCTGATGGAGCCACTGCTTCACCAAGCTCACTTCTGAGAAATTGCCTATCATTCTGTGCACTTTGGTTGAACCACTTGAATCTGTTCTTTAAAACCAAATGTCTTGTTGAATGGATCAACAATTCATGAATCAATGGTCGGCAATCCCAAGGCACAGGAATGAACTCCAACAATTTCATTTCAGCTGACAACAAACAATGTCAATAAGTCTCACACTGCACCCATCATCATTGCGTTGAACTCCTGGCAAAAGCTCTGGATCGGGGCTGAGATCTTCAAAGAGAAGTTTGAATCCATGACTGCACTGGATTGTCGAAGCATCTGTTGAATCATGTCCTAAGCGCAAAATTCCAAGGCCATATGCATAGCCTGTTGTCTTGTGGGTTTTCACCCCAGTTGGCTAGCTCAAGACCAAACTATCTGTGTGATTTTGCAATCCCATCGCCCCAAAAAAAGAATATATTTTCAAATTTTCCTCCGATACAAAACTCAAATTTGTGGCGGTGTGTTTCTGTATCTTTTTTAAGGGATTTTACCCAAAAGCACTTAGCCGACCCAAAAAAAACTGGTAACCCACAAAATCCATCATTTTGATTGTTTAACCATCCATTTCGGCTTCAAAAATTCCATCCCCCCGTCGGGTGATGACCTCACGGCTGATCATGCCATCGTTGTTGGCATCGATCTGGGCAAAGGCGTCCTACAGGAAATTCCATCCAGGTTGGTTTCTTGTTTCTCGTGTTGAAAACCAGACCTGTTGTTTTGCCGTTGGGATCGAAAGGATGTGTGTTTCATTACTTGAAGAAAATAAAGAGGGCTTCGACTTATCATTCTTTTGCTATACCAACAAAAAAATGTCACTTGTATCCCTCCTTCAAACTGCAAAAATAGAATGAATGGTACCCCATGCGCAACAACACCTCGCGGCAGAATTTCCCGGTCCGTGGCAGCCATGGCGGTGGAAGGATGTCGCTGGCGCCCAATTTTGTTTCAAGGATCAAGAGGGCCAGAGCTACGGCGTAAGATTCAAACAGTTTTGGTTTTGTAGATCTTTGGCTGATCGGTTTTAAGACCATCATTCATCACCGGATCTGGATTAATTATCCCCAGCATATATTGAAACATAGTATAGATATTTGAATTCACTATATATTGTATCCAATTGTTGTCTTGGGATGTCCCAAAAAATGGGAACCCACAGGCAGGACGCAGCAACCAATCACACACACGTTGAAAAAAATCAAGGCTGGGTGCCGCACAACAAAGAGTAAATATAGATATTACATACAACACATTGCGGATATTGCCAGCTAATTCACACACTGAGGAGCCCGGCACTTTGTGTTCAAATAATGGTCAAGAGTAGGAACTGACAAAGTTTTGAAACCCAACAGCAGTGAGGTTTCCAAGTTCAATGTGAGAAGGTTCTCGAGTAGCGTCCATGATTTGGGCCACATTTTTACCTGTTCGACAGGCCAACACAGTCAGAAAACAACACAAGTTAGCAGGTTTATTTACACTTGAGACTTGAGGCATGCACAAGATACTGAGATATGGTTATGTACAACCAACCAGTTAAATCTACAAATAACATATTTACAAGTGTAAGGCGTAAGGTGGAATGGAAGCAAAATTTGTGCTAATGGACTTCCTGGTGCCCAGCCCCTTTTGATCTAGGGCAACTTCTGGTCTTTCCCTCTCGGATTTGCCTTCCTGCCAACATGTTGATCAGGATGGCGCTGGCACCCAGTCAGGGCAGGAAAAATTTGCAAATGTCCAAGAGAGTTCCCAAGAGAATTCTGAGACCTTCCCACATTGAAAATAAGGCCCTTCAAACTTCGGACCTAGACACTTCACTGACATCACAGGCTGCACCAAGGCCAACAATAATTTTCAAGAAGCGAGGTCCTGGAACTGCAGGTGTCTTGCCACAAGCTACAGCAGCTACTGGCGTTGAGCAAGGCAATCCAGTAGAGAAGCCTGAAAGCAACACGGGGTGATGCAGGATATGGACTGCAGCCCTATCAAGTGCTTGCGTCAAATTCATTTTTGGATAATATGCATGAGGCCTACACATCGTTATATCGCCTGCAAATAGATGTTCTTTCCAACCCCATTGAAACCCCAAAATGCACACTGCATGAGAAAAGTAATGGAGCGTTAGATGTGGTGTTCGATGCCCTGAGGTCTCAAAACCTGGGAAAGCATCCTGAGATGGCAATAGCTTGAAAATAAAACTATGTAAAGTTGAACATCCTCTGACCTAGAAACTCAAACAAACCATGTTGGGGTTCTTGGCTTAGCCCCTCGCCATTGCAGCAAATCGAAAACACGGCACAGCTGGAATAACACGTTGTTTCGAAAGTTGGAAAGGCGTCCCTTCCCGATATCACAGATCAATGCAAGCGCCGTTGTTAGTGCCAGACTTGCACTGATCCCTGGCACCCCCTGCATGTTGAAACATGGTTAGTTCTAACTAACTGTTAGTGACTATATATCAGCAGTTTGGAGACACGTGGCCCCTCAACGTGAGGGGCAACCTTTGGCAAAAAACAAAATCGGTCTTACTGACGCCACTGCATCTGATGCTTTACGGAGTGACACTTCATAAAACGTCACAGAAAAGCACAACGATCTTGTCGGTTTCTGGCAATGAAAAGTTCAGGGAGTCGAAAATACATCAGACCCAACAAATCCAGAAGCTAAGCAATCTGCACTTCTGTAACACGCACACGAGCGGGTAAGGAGGGAGGGAAGAAGGACAGCCAGCCACAACCAACAACGGGGAAACAAGGAGAAACAACAAAGGCAGAGAACAGGCAGGGGGAGCACACAACAAGCATGCAAAACAAAAGAAAGGAAAGGGAGAGGGAGGGGTGGAGAAAGCACACCGAACCCAACCCTGGCAGGCAGAAGAGCAAGAGCGCAAAGCAAAACACGCAACAAAGCAAAACCAACCAGCAGCGAGACGACTGAAGCAGGACAGCGGAGGGAAGGAACAAAAACACTCCTGGGGGGAGAGGGGGGAGAGAGAAAGGACCGGGTGGGTGGGAAGGAGGAAAGAACAACGAGGAAAGAAAGAGATAGGAAAAGAAAGGAAGCGAGTGAGCACTGCACCCATGGACCCGCCTGGGAGATTGGAGGGTGCACCCAGCTAAACTCCTGTACTGTATCCAAGGCCAGGGGGGAATGAGGCCAGGACCAATGAGAGTATTACAATGTCTTATTGTTCCTGATGGCTACTTCTCCCATGTGGGTCCCTATGGGATACTTCAGGATATGGCTTGCCAAATTTTCCACGTCGGGCTTGGAATGTCCACCTAAACATTCAGAACTTCCTTGCACTCGAAGTGCAAACGGCTTGAGGATGTTGGCAACATCCCTCCCTAATCTCGGAAAAGTGCCCGGTCATCACTTTCATCCACGTGGAAATGCAGAGCCGGCACAACCAAGCGAGGTTAAGTACCCATGACTGCACTGCATGAGAAAAGTAATGGAGCGTTAGATGTGGTGTTCGATGCCCTGAGGTCTCAAAACCTGGGAAAGCATCCTGAGATGGCAATAGCTTGAAAATAAAACTATGTAAAGTTGAACATCCTCTGACCTAGAAACTCAAACAAACCATGTTGGGGTTCTTGGCTTAGCCCCTCGCCATTGCAGCAAATCGAAAACACGGCACAGCTGGAATAACACGTTGTTTTGAAAGTTGGAAAGGCGTCCCTTCCCGATATCACAGATCAATGCAAGCGCCGTTGTTAGTGCCAGACTTGCACTGATCCCTGGCACCCCCTGTATTGAAACATGGTTATAAGTTTATAAGTTATAAGTTATAAGTTATAAGTTATAACTAACTGCTAGTGACTAGCAGTTTGCACACACACACACACAAACAGACCAACCGCCCATGTATATTGACGTAAGACGCGACAATGGGTTGTCAACGGTCGGAGCGCCCAGGTAAGTACCAATTGGCTTTGACCCATACCCATTCATGGCTTTTCAATTAGATACTGAATATTAGATACTTCATAATGGAGAGCATCTTAATAAGGTCACCTCCAGGCCCTAGTGCAACAAGGAGGGGTTCTTTTCAACTTATGCTGGCAATGACAAAGGTCAGCCCCCGCATTTCGGGCAAGGTATCTTTATACCTTTCCTGTTGTCATGCCTTCGCTTTCAGCGAAGGGCCAGATATGCTTCAGCAAACGCCGGCGCTGGTAGCGCACAAACAATTTATTTATCTTGGTCGAGAAAACACATTCTGCATACACACACATGCATATACAACTCTAGCCGCTACCAGGGCCAGCAAACGTGACACAACACAGAACACGTGCTTTGGTGCTTTGTTCGTCAGAAATCTCTGCATTTTCTGCTGGACCTATCTACTGTCCAACTCCGTCCGTGCAGCTGGATGCTTTGGCTTTGACCCATACCCATTCATGGCTTTTCAATTAGATACTGAATATTAGATACTTCATAATGGAGAGCATCTTAATAAGGTCACCTCCAGGCCCTAGTGCAACAAGGAGGGGTTCTTTTCAACTTATGCTGGCAATGACAAAGGTCAGCCCCCGCATTTCGGGCAAGGTATCTTTATACCTTTCCTGTTGTCATGCCTTCGCTTTCAGCGAAGGGCCAGATATGCTTCAGCAAACGCCGGCGCTGGTAGCGCGCAAACAATTTATTTCATCTTGGTCGAGAAAACACATTCTGCATACACACACATGCATATACAACTCTAGCCGCTACCAGGGCCAGCAAACGTGACACAACACAGAACACGTGCTTTGGTGCTTTGTTCGTCAGAAATCTCTGCATTTTCTGCTGGACCTATCTAGTGCAGCTGGATGCTTGAATGCTTGACATGAATATAAGAATAAGAATATGAACCGTAATACAGTATTATTATGATGCAGGGCTGCGAGATTTCGTTTATATACTCGATCGGTTTTACGGATTCAAAGATCTGTCCTCACAATGTATGGTGTGTCGGCTTCACCTGAAGCGCAGATGCGACCAACTTTCGCTGCAAGATTGCACATCAGTCAATTTAAAATCCACGGGTATCGAAACTCTTCGGGTTTCAGAACCAAAAAATCATCCTAATTGGACATATAATTTGTTTTTTGGCTGTGTGCATGTCAGCCAGGCATGTGCTTCTTCACTTCACAAATACTGCTTTGGACTTTGACGGCTTTCAATGTTTTAATCGGTTTGTTGAGCAAGCTTCGGCCTGGGCCACACTCAACGTCAGCCAGTTCATCGCGCGGAGTGGAAGTATCACCGTCTTCACTTCCCGCACTGCCAGGAGATAAAACCACATCACCTGTGCACAAAGCTGTTGCTTGATCCAAGTTACTTTTTTCCAAAAGCACTTGCCACGGGTTCCTTCCCATGAAAGGCTGCCAACACACATGTTTCAACCTACATTGTCTGCATCATTCTCATCTTCATCTTCATCTTCATTATCATCATGGCCATCATCATCATCATTGCCGTCATCATCGTCGTAATCATCACCATCAGCAGCAGCAGCAGCAGCAATGCCAGCATCATCACAGCCCTCATCATCATCACCACCAGCATCATCATCACCACCACCAGCATCAGCATCAGCATCAGCATCAGCATCAGCATCATCATCATCATCATCATCATCGTCATCATCATCATCACATTCATCGTCATCGTCATCATCGTCGTCGTCATAGTCGTCGTCATCGTCGTAGTCGTCATCGTAGTCATCGTAGTCATCGTAGTCATCGTAGTCATCGTAGTCATCGTAGTCATCGTAGTCATCGTAGTCATCGTAGTCATCGTAGTCATCGTAGTCATCGTAGTCATCGTAGTCATCGTAGTCAACGTAGTCAACGTAGTCAATGTAGTCCTCGTCATCATCATCGTCGTCATCATCATCATCATCATTACCACCATCATGAACCATCATGAATCAACATCAAGTCATTATTTTCTATCTCAAGCAATCATACTGCATTC